AATAATAATAATAATAATAATAATAATAGTAATAAAAATTTATGTGGAAGAGCAAAAGATCAGTGGTAATGGAAATAATTTTGAAAATATTCAACAGAGGTGAATTTGCCCTGCTGGGTGAAAGAGCTGATGTGGATCTAGGGTATGTGGGCCAGAGTGGGGTGCCCTCCTGGGTAGACATGAGGTCCAGGGGCTGGAGAGGCTAGGAAGCCACTCACAGACTCCACTCCTTGCATTCCGACACCCTGGCTGTAGATCCCCAGACACAGACAGGTGGCACTCTACTTCTCTGTATCTCACCGAAAGTAAAAGCAGTCTCTATTTCATCTAATACCCATCCCAAGCGTGTAAAAACCTCTAGATGTAAAGCAAAACATAAAGACTTCTGGAAGATCAAGCCAGGTGTGGCACAGGTCTGTAATCTCAGCATTCTAGGAGGCTGAGGCAGGGTGATCTCAGGTTCAAGCTCAGCCTGGGCAACGTAGTGAGACCTTGTCTCAAAATTTAAAAATGTAAAAAGGGCTGGGGAGATAGCTCAGTGTGAAGACCATGGGTTCAATCCTCAGTGTCACTGAAAAACAAACTAACCCTGAAGAACATGTAGGAGAATATCTTTATGAAATTGGGTAGGAATTCTTAAGCAAGATTCAAGGAAGGAAATTTAAAATTGGGCTACAAACAAATGAAAATTTTGTTAATTGAATGTCACATCTTGTAAAAATAAAAACATCCCACAGACTGGAATTAAGCTATGCAATTCCTGTAGCAACACAAGCCTGGAAATCAGAATATACAAGGAATCCCAAATAAATATAAGAGAGAGACAAAATCTGCCCTCCTAAAGAAATGGACAAAAGATACCAAATGGTGATCTATAGGATAGTAGAAATCAGTTGTTAAAAATCAAAACCACAACGAGATGCTGTCTTAGTTACTTTCTCGTTGCTAAGACAAAATACTTGACACCCATAAGTTAAAGGAGGAAAAGTTTATTTTAGCTCACAGTTTGTCGAGGTTTTGGTTCACAGTCAGCTGGCTCCAAGGCAGAGTGGCATGGCAGAGGGGCATCACAGAGGAGAAACAGTCCCTGGCAGGGTAGGCAGGAAGAGGCAGCAGCAGCATCAATCCTTTCCCTTCTTATTCCACTGAGGTTACAAGGCTTTGGGTGGTGCCATCCACACCCAGGGTGGGGCTTCCTTTTTCAGTAAACCCACTCAGCCACACCCAGAACCATACCGATCCAGTCAGTGGACTAATCCAGTTACCATACACCCATGATCTAGTATCACACAGCCTAGATCCAGCCACCTCCAAAATGTCCCACCTCTGAGCACATGAAGCTTTGTGGGGACATCTAGACACAAGCCAAACAGATGTCACATCATGTGTACCAAGTTGCCAAAAGCATCAAGTCTCACAAGGCCATGTGCAGGCAGGGGTGTGGGCAGGGGGACTCAGAGCATGACACAGCACTGTCTTCAGAAATGAGGAATCGGGTAGGGCTGGGGATTTAGCTCCATGGTACTGCTACCTGCCACACAAACGTAAGGTCCTGAGTTGAATTCCCAGTACAAAAAAAAAGAAAGAAATGAGGAATGGGAGTCCCCTACATGTCTGCCAGCCTACTCCTAGAGAAACATCCTATGCCTACTCCAGGAGCCCACAGATCCTCACAGCAGAGTTGTTTATAATGCAAACAGTGCAGGCCACTAACATGGCCACTCAGAGCAGGTTGGATACAGACATTTCAGTACATTCATATAATGGATTATTATACACCAAGGAAAAATCACTTAATGAGAAGTATAAATTAAACATTTACCAGCATACTCTTGGGTGAGGGTGGTACCGCCTAAATCCCAAGGCCCATGTTGAAAGAAGGGGGCTGGCTGATCCTGAGTGGCCCCAAGAACTAGGACCTCTGTAGGGGCAATCCAGTCATGTGGATTTGAGCTGAAAATGAGGAAGGGGTTTCTAACAGACCATCCTGGCCAGGGATGAGCTCTCCACCATCGGAAGTATGTAAGTGGGGTCTGGGCAGCTGCTGCATGGCCTTCTACATCCATGGTGCAAGGGCAGGACTGAGGATGGGAGGTCTTGAGACCTCCTAGACCTTGTGGCTCTGTGACTCACTGAGTTTGTAAAGTGTGCTCAGAAGAGGAGGGAATGATGCAGTAACCAAATCTTTCACCCAGTGACACTTGCGGGAGCTGGGACCACGCTCCCTGGGCCACAACATGCAGGAATGTGAATGCAGCTGCCAAGCACACTGAGTGGAAGGAGCTTGCAGGGGACCCCCAGACACTGGCCTGTGGAACTCTAGACCTGCAGAGTGACCTCCGGTTGGCGGAGGTGGAGGGAGGGAGGAGCAAGGTAATGGGCCAAGTTGGGCGATGCCCTGGTCTCGGTTGCAGTGGAGGATTGTGGGGGCGCACAGCCATGGAAATGCCTGTAACCATGCACTTGGGGAGGATGCGATGTGTTGCCTGTGGATTAAGCCTGGTACAGGTTCTTGGAGGAAGGGAGGTAAACAGGACTGGACTGGAGGCCAAGGCTTCTGCATCATGACCTTGTCATGTGGACTTGGGCCTCTGCTTTTCCACTTGTGTAATGGGAGATACAGACAAGGAGACCTGGGTTCACTGGCAGTGGAGTGTGTCAACCTGTGTGCCTCAGTTTCCTCATCTGCAGAACGGGAAAGAGGGGGACCCCCAGCAGCCTCACTCTCACAGCGGTGTTCACACTGCCTCTCTGACCCTGTGGCTGTCATCCCTCTTCTGCCTTCCCTATCTTGTCACCCCCTTCCCACCTGCCCACGCAGCCCCTGGGCCACCGGCAGGTTGGGGACAATCCCAGAGGTCCAGGGTACCTGTGTCGTGTTCGGTGTTGTTCAGGGGCAGCTTTCTATTGTTGCACGTCCAGAGCTAGGTACTTAGGTGGTGCATAATTATGGCTGCCAAATGAAACAGCAAGTCGATGGTGGGCGGCCATCTTTGGCGTGTGCTGTGCTGGAGAAGTAGCTTTCTTGAAATGGACAGCGGGTGCAATGGTAGAGCTGTGAGGCCTTGTATTGTTGGGCAGGTTGTGTACTGTACAAGGAAGCTCCGCTCTGGGTGTGTGTGTGGGTGAGTGTGGGGTGAAACCCAATACACAGACTGCTTTCCAAGCCACACTCATTGGCTGGGTGTTCTCAGAGGAGTCCATTGTTCTTTCTCGTTCTTCTTTTGTTTTTGGTGCTGAGGATTGAACCTAGGGCCTTGAGTATGCTAAGCATAAGCTCTTTTCCCTGAGACAAAGTGTTTGTTCTGGAGTAATTTTAGATTTGCAGGAACACTGTGAAGAGATAAGAGTTCACCTCTGTCCTCCACCCAGTCCCCCGATCGTGGGTCAGCATCACTGACATATCCAGGGTACGTTTGTCAAAGCTAAGAAATGAACCCCAGCGCGAATCTGTGAGCTGAATTTCAGGCTTGACTTGGAGGTTACTTCTCCTGCTAATGTTCCTTGTCTGTTCTGGATTCAGGTCAGGGCACCACACTGCACCCTTTAGATGGACCCTGGGGCCACCTTGGGGTCCAGCAGAAAATGGGGAAAGAATTTGGATGGAGGGGGTACCGGAGATAAAGGGCCTTAGGTGGCTGAGCAGGGCAGGGCACCAGGATGGTGAACGGGACATCTGGGCTCAGGCGCAGCCCTTGGCACCCTCCTGTGGGTGACAAGTCCAGGGAGGGTGACCCCATCCGGGGAGGCGCTGGGGGAGGACAGTGGCCGTGGGCAGGGACCTTGGAGCCAGCGGGGGTCCAGCATTTTTGTGAGCCCTCCCAGAAGTCTCTGTAGTCAAGCAGAACACATGCTCCCCCAGCCCCGCTGCCCAGCTGGGACCTTGGGCTTTGTCCCCTACCATAGCAGCTGAGGTCGGGAGCTCAGAATTGCCTGTGCCTGGGGCTGGTACTAGGCTGTGTGGTCTTAGTGCATCAGGTGACCCCTCAGCTCTGCTCTCTGCTCTGCTCTCTGCTCTGCATCTGCAAAATGGGCCATGGTCCTTTGTTCCAGTCCCGATGCCAAGGGGCTGCCTGGAGGGGGCTGCCCTCCTCCTCCCTGCCTGTACCTTCTTCATCAGCTGCCCCCCCACCCCTTCCTGCCTTCCCCCACCTCTACCCTACCACGTGTACCCTTGCTTAGGGGCACCTCCGTGTGTGTCCAGGCGAGGCCCACTTGGACACCACATTCCTAGTGCCAGCTTGAGATGTCACCCTGTGGGTCCCAGCTCTCCCTCCTTGGTGACACAGAGGTCCTTCCTGCAGTTTCTCTGTGGCTCTCTAGTCACTTCCTGTCTCATCTTCAGGCACCTGTGCGGAGGCTCTGTCTCCGTTTGGGTGAGGTCTCCTGCACCTTGCTTGGAACATCGATCCCTGGTGTGCAGCAGGGATTCATTAAATGCTCACACTTAAAGTAGAGCCCAACTGACCTTGGGGAAGCCTCACATTTTGGGGGAGCAACATCGGCCCATTCCTCTGAGAGGAAGTGGGTCTCCCAGTCCAGCGGGTGCCCAGGTATCCTGCTAGAGCCCCAGGGCAGGTGTCTGGGGGTGGAGGGGCAGGGCCCACACCTGAGGCCCCCTCCCCTGCCCGCCTGCAGGCCCCGCCCTCTGAAGGCCAGGGGCCACAGCCTGGTGAGTTCCCCTTCCGCTTCCTCCTGCCTCCTGTCCCTCGGCTGCTTCTCCTCCTCCCCTCCGGGGCACCTCGCCAGCTCTCCAAGCCCGTGGTGCCCACAGGCACGCTGCTCCTGGCCCTGAGCTGTCACTGCTGCACCCCAGGCCCCCGACACGATGCAGGCCATCAAGTGTGTGGTGGTGGGAGATGGGTAGGTACCTCTGGGATACCTGAGACCCTTCCGCCCTGCATCCCGGCAGATAGGCAGAAGGGCAGATGGAGGAGTCCTGGGGTGCGCTAGGTGGAGTCCAGAGGGTGCACCTGGGGTGGCCGATCGCAGCCTCAGTCTCCACACCTGTCCCACCCTGCAAACGGCTGGGCTGGCCGGTGGCAGTGCCTCGGGCCCTCGCCTGTGCCCTGGGAGTGGGGCAGGTCTCCCATTCAGTCTACAGTTCTGTGGCTGCAGGTGTCAGGCGGGGACCAACAGTTTCGCCTCTGTCCCAGGCTGACCTGGGCGGTGGTCCCTGGCTTGCTGTTGTAGCAGGGGTGTGTGTGTGTGCATGTGTGTGTATGCGTGTGTGTGTATGCGTGTGTGTGTATGCGTGTGTGTGTGGCTGGTCTCAGCACGACTCTGAGTCTCAGCCAAGCCATCTGGGAAGAGACCCAGGTCCCCAGCTGCTATGGGGTTTCAGGGACCTGCCGAGTCGGTCGTGTGTGTTTCTACCCCACCACCTCCAGCCTGATGGTGGGGGAGGATGTGGCAGAGTTAGGAAGGAGGAAGGCAAGCAGTCTGGGGGGGTCCTGGAGGGCAGGCTGGGCCAAGGGCCTTCTCAGTGGTCTCATCTTGGTGACCTCAGCAGTCTCGTCCTCTGTGGGCCTCAGTTTCCTCATCTGTAGGATGATAGGGCCAGTGTGTCAGGCTCTCGGTGCCTCCTGGGTCCCCCCAAGTCCACCTCAGCATGGTCCAGCTGGCCCATTCAACACGGCGACAGCCTGAGGCCTTGGGAGACTCGCATCTCTCTGGTACTGAGCCACAGGGGCTCGAGTTTGGTTGGGATCCGGCTCAGTGGGGGCACAGCCGTTATCTGCCCCATCTACCCACTGCTTGCCCCAGCCCGCCCTGCTCACTTCTGCTTTGTATCTGAAGGGGTAGGCGTGGAAGTCAAGGGTAACGCTCCCGCCACTCCACTCCCGTTGTCGCTCAAAGTTACCTTGGTGGCGGGCCCTGGGGAGGGCGGCAGTGGAGAGAGGGTGAGTAGTCTGCCGGGAACAGGAAGTGACAAAACCCCACCGAGCTGGGGAAGGCCCAGATCTGTCCCCTCGGCCATTCAGCCACTCAAGGAGCCACATGTGGCCTGCTCACCTGGCAGGCCAGGAGAGGCATCTGGAGTAGCGGCCATCACCACTTAGTTATTGTTTACTATGTGCCAGGCACCGGGTTCCATCCCACCCACCGACCCTAATATCAGGTCCATTTAGACAGCCGGGAAGATGGAATCTCAGAGAGGGTTACTAATTTGCCTAAGACCTCACAGGATTTGGACCCAGTCTCTGACTCCAGCCCTGTGGCCATACCTGCCGTGCCCCATGGTGGGGTGGCGGGAAGAGGACCAGGCTCTCCTGAGAGTCACCCGTCGCCCCCGCTGTGCCAGGGCTGGCTAATACTGTCATGGGCACAGTCTGAGCCATGCCCCACACACTCCTAGGAGGATGGACTCATTCTTGTTTTCTAGATGGGGAAACTGAGGCAGAGGTTGGTTAGGTGACTTCCAAGGCCACGCCACTGGTAGTAGATGGGATTTGTGGCTGGGAGTGTGGTGGCAGAGCTGGGTCAGAAACCCAGGCCTGTGCTCTTATTCCTGGTTCTGTCCCCAGCCATGGACCAGAGTCTCTGGTGTCTCGGGTGGGATCCTGAACCCAGAGGTCTGGGCCGGGGCAGATGCCAGGTTTCTGGTGCACTTGGCAGGGACTCAGCCCTCCCCGAGGGCTCAGCAGAGCCCTCGACTGTGTCCTCTCGCTTCCTGTCTTTCAGAGCTGTGGGCAAGACCTGCCTCCTCATCAGCTATACCACCAACGCCTTCCCCGGAGAGTACATCCCCACCGTGTGAGTGCTACCGCGGGCCACCCCGGGGCTTCCGGGCCAGGCACCCCAGGGGTCAGGTGGCCAAGGGGCTGGGGCTTGATGGAGCTGCCTGATGAGCCCACCAGGGCAGGAGGACAAGAAATGGTCAGGGTGGGGACAGGGTGGGAGCTGGGAGCTGGGAGGTGACCTTCAAGCAAGAAGAGAAGAGAGTGGAGCAGAGGGCTGGCCAGACAGAGCAGGAGCAGGAGGTGGAAGAGAGGCCAGGTGGAGAAGCTGATGGGAGGGAAGGAGGAGGAGGAAGAGGACGGGGAAGAGGAAGGGGCGGAGGAAGAGGGCGTGGCTGTTGCTTTGCTTTCCTTCCAAATGTTTTTTTTTTTTGGTACCAGGGATCGAACCCGGGTCCTTGTGTTTGCACAGCAGGCAGCGAAACCACTGAGCTAAATCCCCAGCCCCGTGCTTTGCTTTCCATTCCCTGTTGCTGGGTGGATGTTCCCTGGGCACTTGCACCCCAGGGCCTTGGCTCAAGCTCTTCCCTCTGCCTGTGATGCTTTTCCTTCTCATGTCCATGTGTGTAGAAGCTCCAGCACAGCTCTGGGGCCCCCTGCTCCAGGAAGCTGTTCCGATCTACCCTGAGAGGTGTCCCACTCCCCATATGACTTCAGAAGACCTGTTCTGTGGCTTGGTTCTGCGTGGGCCTCCCTGTGGTCTTGGGCGCATTGTCTTGAACGCAGTCCTGTGTTTTGAGGTCACCTGAGCCAGACAGCATGGGAGGGGCCCCAGGAGGGTCACCACCTGGCTCTGTGTGTGATGTCACATGTGTGTGATCTCATTTGATCCTGGGCATTACAATACCAGGACACAGGGAAGGTGCATCTCACTGTAGCTAAAGGGCTTGTGCCCCAGGGCCACAGGGAGGTCACTGGGGTCCTCATTTTGTGATCCTAATGGGGGCCCCTCAGGTGCAGTAGACTCAGACCCTTTGGGAAGGAGAGAGAGAGGCAGAAAGAACAGTGCCCAGGTCCCAAGGTGCCTTTGACTGCCCCCTAAGACACTGGAGGGTCCACCAGGATCCCAGTGCCAAACCCAGACTCCACCCCTAGCCTGGCCTGAGCTTTTGGGCCCCTGTGGGTGGGTACAGTGTCCTCCCTGCTGATGGCCCTCCCTCAGGCACTGGGCTCAGCCAGGAGAACAGCAGGGAAGCTGGGCAGGGCCCAGAGAGACCCTTCCTGCTCAGCTGGTCCTGGGGCTGCGGAGTGCCCCTCCGGATGCTTGTGCTTATAGGATGAGCGAGCAGGACTGAGGGCTCCAGCTGGTTGCCTGACATCCTTTACCAGGCTCCTCCCAGTGCCAAGGCAGGGCTGGCTCTAAACCTGGACAGGGAGGCAGGTGCAGGATTGGGAAGGTGGCGCCTGCTGAAGGCCACTGTCAGCAGAAGTGTGTTGTCACCACCTGTGTCCCCGAGTCTCTGGATGCTGGCTGAGATCCCGTCCTGCCTCTGCCTGTTCTTTCCGGGTTGAGAGATCCCATTTGCTGATGGATCTTGGACCCATCATTTTCCCTTTCTGGACTCTAAGCCTCAGTTTCCCCTTCTATGATAGGCAGGGGCAGGGGCAGGGGCAGGATGCTGGACGACTGAGGCTTCTAGGGGCAGACAAGGGCCAGCTGCTCCCAGCAACTTGGATTGGAGTGCGTTGGGGTCCCAAGTGGCCCCGAGTGTGCTAAGTTGTCCTGGACTCAGAGGAGTCAGGGTGGAGCCATGGGTGCCATTAGTCAGATGCAAAGCATGCCATGCTCAGAAGGGTCTGCACGTGGCTTAGTCTCTGATATCCTTCTGCATTTCTCTATCAGTTCTGAATGAGGGCCAGCACTTTTACCTTGCACTGGGACCTGTGTGTTTTGCAGCAGCTTTGCCTCCCAGGGCCAAGTGGCTCAGCCCCAGATGAGACTGAGAGAAACTCCTGCTCCGGAGAGGGGAACGTCAGCCGCCCTGGGCACTTGACATTGCAGCCTGTGGTGGGGTCTAACAGCCAAGTGGCCAGCACTTTCCCTAGTGAGTGGGCTGTGCTGCAGGCCAGCCAATCAAGCGCTAGGATCTGTGGCGCATCCCTGATAGGCTCTTTTCATCCCCTCCCTCCACGTCCCTTTAGAAGAATTCCTGTACCCTTTTACTGCAGGGATGCAGAGGCTTGGATTGCAGGATTGCGGTAGGGATTTCCTCACTCCATGCTATGGCTGTGGAATTTACAACCTGCTGATTTATGCCCTGGACCCAGTGTCAGAGCCAGTAGGGTCCCATGACCTCACTGCACATTTTCACAAGGCTGAAGCCTGCTCTGGGGATGGTCCTAGTCCTGGAGGAGGGTTGGAGATACACAGATGTGGCAGGAAGAGCTCGCCTTTGGGTGCTTGTGACATACAGGGTCTCCCCTGTCACCTCTGTCCTTATAACCATGCTCAAAGCGAAGTCCAGATGAGCTTTTCAAGGTGTAAGCTAGAACCACATCTTGCCTTAAGACCCTCCCTGCCCCCTGCATACATTTTCACCTTTGCTTTCCTTTCCTCCTTCCTTCCTTTTGGGATGGTACTGGAGATTGAACCCAGGGCCTTTGCACTGAGCTACATCCGGCCCTTTTTAAAGAAAAAAAATGTTTTTGAAGTAAGTTCTCACTACGTCCCTAAATTACCCAGGCTGGGCTCAAACTGGTGATCCTCCGGCCGCAGTCTCCCAGCGTGGTAAGATTACAGGCCTGAGCCACCACACCCAGCCCCTTCACACTTAAGAGCCATCTGCTGTCCCAGTGTTTAAAGGGCTGAAGCCTACCCCCCACTGCTTCATCTACCGTGCACCCCCAGTCCCCACCCCAGATGCGGGGATCCTGCATGATCCCAGACACGCCAGCCTCTGAGGCCCAGATCACTCCTGTCTTCCTGGCATCCAGTTCCCTGCCCAGCGTGGCTCCCTGACCTGCTGTCTGAAGTGCCCCTTCCCTCTATCCCACCGTGCTGCCTTGGTTTCCTCCTAGCCTGTAGAATCTGACTTGATGCCTCTGCTCCGGGCTACATCCTGCTCGTGTGAGCTCCCAGGGACAAGGTCCTTGTCTATCTCCTGTGCTGCCCATTTTATAACAGAGCAGCGGATGGTCGCTGGTGCTCGTAATGCTGGGACCACCTTGGCAGACTGCTGGGCATGCTCTGTAAGCAGGAACACATATCGTTCCTTTAGGTATTTAATTTTCATCCTCATTTGTGACCCTCCCTTCAGTGCACTGACAAAGCAAGCCTAGAATTCCCTGGGAAGCAAGACATCCAGGCTTCAAGCCCCTGCCTGGTCAGTCCTCCCCTGTTCCCAAGTCGCCATTCAAGCATGCCCGGGGGTGCGCCACATCCTTCCTTAGGGGAGGCTTGGGGCAAGGCCAAGTGACACTGGGTGTAGAGGCCCCTCTTACCTGCCCCCTTCTCTATTCAGGGGAAGGTCTGGGCCTCAGCCAGAGACCAGGCCTCCAAGTGGGAGAGGCTCAGACAGAAACCTGCCCCCTCATCCAGCTCTGTTTCCAACTCACAGCCCAGGCTTCGCTCAGTTGGGCAACAGGATCTGGGCCCTGCTGCCACCAACTGACTGGAGGTCTTGGTCAAGTCCCTTCCTGCCTGCAAGCCTCGGTGTCATCTGGAAAATACAGGGGAAAGCTCAGCCACGGTGGCATCTAGAGTCCCTCTGTGGGTCTCATAAGCTGGAGGGACCCTCAGGAGTGTCATATCATCAGTGTGTCTCTGCAGCTGACCCCAGATTCTGGCAACTGGCTCTCTAGAGCGGAGCCCAGTGGGGGGCACTTGGGGATATAAACAATGAGATTGCTCAGCTTCTCACATCTCCCATTGGGAATAGCTGCAAGAGACAGCCCCCCCCCCCACCAGTGACTTGAGTCAGGCTCAGAGAAGCCAGGTCACTCAGCTGCGTCACACCCCGGGAAGCAGCTTCACGGGGAACTGTCCTTCCCAACCTCAGGCAGCTGTCCCTGTCCCCGACTAAACCCACCGCCTGCAGTTCCCTTGTCTGCTCCCTGCATCCTTCATCCCAGGAAGAGTAGTTCTTGGAGTCCAGCTCCTACGCTGCCGAGCCGGCTGGCTTGGAAGTGTCATTTGAACTCTTGGAGCCTCGGTTTCCTTATTTGTCAAATGAGAGTATGTTAAGATCCTTTTGTTTTGGGTCACATGGGAATTCAAGACTCATAAAAGGCCCCTGGTCCCTGCTTGGCCCTGGAGTAGGTGTTTAGTGCCATCACAGGTCGCAGCCCTTTTGTCAGTGGCACTGCCTTGCCATCCTGGGGTGACCCAGAGGACACAGACACTTCTGGCTCAAGGGATTTTGGGAGGGTCTAGAGCTAGAATTTTAGGTGGGACATTGGAAGGGGAGAGTGCCCTGGCATCCCAAGCTTGTCCCAAATGTGTGTTTTCTGGTCAGAGCCTAAAACACTTGTTTTCCCAGCACGCCTGGGTGTGGCTCTCTGGACAGTGCCTTCTTCCCGAAACCCTGTAGTGTGGGTGACTCTAGAGCGAGTGTGCTGCAGACCTACTGTTTGCCAGGCCCTGAGCTAGCCTCAGGGTGCAGAGAGGAGCAAGCCCGGCCCAGTGCCTGCTGCAGGGACTCTGAGCCACCAGGGAGTGCTGGCTGGGTGGGAGGGGCCTGATCTGCAGGGGCCCAGGATGGGCTCTGCCTCTTGAGCAAGAGTCAGCGGGTGGCCGGTGGGGAGGAAGTGGAGGGAGGGGAAGCCACATGGGGAGTGAGAGCCTATGATTATAGCAGTTTTCCAGGCCCTAGGGGGTCAAGGGAGGAACTGACAGGTGACCTGGCCCAAGTGCAGGGCAGAACCAGCACCGTGTGTTACAAATGTCAGCTGCTACTCAGTGCTAGAGCACTTGCTGGGCATGTGTGAGGCCCCAGGTTCAACTCCAGCACTGAAAAAAAAGTGGGTTGTCCACAGTTTGGGATGGGGTGTCTGCCTCCGAGGGGCGTCTTTGGTTTTTTTGAAGCACTGGGGCTTCCGAGGCCTGGCTGAGCCGCATTCTGTGTGGGTTCGTGGAGGAGGTGGCTGCCGGAGAGTTTCTTCGGTTTATTCTAATCCTGTCCCATCTGCGTTCACTGGGCACCAGGTGGAGGTGAAGCATGCACAAGCCCAGTCCGCAGGGACACGCACATGAAACACCTGCTCAAAGTCAAGGTCAAGGTCAAGGCAAAACAGTCACCCAAGGAAGGGACCCAGAGCTGTTTCTGAGTGGGGACAGGGAGTCCCTCAGAGGGAGAGTTGCCCAGGAGGGTTTTGAAGCATGAATAGGAGGCAGGAGAGGAAAGAGGTGAGAGAGCCTGGATAGCAAGGAGTGCAAGGTCAGGAAGTAGGGGAGGGGCACAGTGGGAGCAGTAGGGAGTGGGGCCGTGTGGGGATCTGGGTGAGGAGGTCAGGGGATCCCTAACCTCGATGGAGGCACAGCTGTGGCACGGGGCAGGGAGCTCTGGATGTGGGGCCAGACAGAGATTCTCACCCAGTTGAGTCTGTCGCTGACTGGGTGGCCTTGGGCGAGTCACTCAACCTCTCCGATCCCCCGTTTTCTCCTGCCCAGCATGAGGCAGCAGCACCTTGGCCTGGAGATGTGTGCAGGGCCGGCTGTCTTCAAAGGCCTTCCCTACTCCCCCCTGTTTGTCCCCTGCCCGGACGAATGCGTCTCAGCCTCACATGGGCTCTGAGGGCCCGCTCAGCTTTTCCAAGGTCTCATGACCGCAGCTCTCTGTGTCACTCAGGTGGCCCTCTGCCCACCGGAGAAGGGAAACAGTGGAGAACTGTGGACGATTGTTCTGGCGTCCTGCCCTCTATGAGGAGGCCCTCAGAGGCTCCCTCTGTCTCCTGGGAGCCCCCACAGGCCTCCCAGCCCATCCTCTATCGGCCTCCGACCCTTCCTTGTCTCTCGTTGGCGGCTCCCCTCTCATGGCTTGCTGGGGTCCCTCCCAAATAACCCCCTGCACCTCCTCATCTCAGGATTTGTTCCCAGGGGATCCAGCCTAAAACAGGGACAAACATTCATTCAACAAATGTCCGGTGAACAGCTAGGTGCCCAGATAGGCGGGTAGATTTTTTCTTGGAGGGAACAGTGCTCGGTCTGGGTCACTCCTCCTAAGGATAGCTGAAGGCAGAAAAGTGATCAAGAGCTAGTATTTTCCTCCCATTGTTTACTTGCATTTAAAAAAACTTAAATAGGATGAATCGGTCATGAAAAACTACAGACTCCATCGTGCTGTGTGACTTGGGGCCAGTCCCAGCCCCTCCCTGGGTCTCAGCCCTATGTGGAACGATGCCAGGCTGGGCTAGAAGCCCCAGGCTCTGGGGTGTGAAGCTGACCATGTCCTTGTCTCGCCCACACCCCACAGGTTTGACAACTATTCAGCCAATGTGATGGTGGACAGCAAGCCCGTGAACCTGGGGCTGTGGGACACGGCCGGGCAGGAGGACTACGACCGCCTGCGACCGCTCTCCTACCCACAGACGGTTCGCTGCCCCCTGCTTGGGGTCCTGGCCCGGTGCCCCACTCTATGTTCCCTCTGCGTGCCCCATCTTGAGCCCTGCTTGGCTTGATGAACCCCATTCTCCCTTGAGACCTGGCTGTCAGTCGGCCTGGGCAGAACCAGGGCTCCTGCTGCGCTCCTGATCCTGTCTGTCCCCTGTTGTCACTGGGCCCATCTTCCTAGCTCTGCCTCTTGGGTATGGCAGGGGCCCCAGTAACAGCCAGGCTGTGAGCCTGCAGGCGGCTCTGCAGCTGCCAAGCCTAGGGTCCTGGGCAGGAGGGGGCTGGGGCTGGTGGGTAGCACAGTGCATGGTTTAGATGGATCCTGAGGCCTGGTGTCCTGGTCCCAGATGTGCATGGCAAGCCCCTCATCTTCGTGAGCCCCGATGCCCCTCAGACAGCAGAAGGGACACCGAGCTCTTCCTGCAGGAATAGGGGGACAGGAGGCTTTGGAAGAGCCCCTGGCCTCGTGAGTGTGAGACAGAGCAGCTCGTGGTGGGGCCCCCAGAACCCCCTCAAGCTGTCCACTCTCAGGGAGCCCCAGGGCTGTCCCACTGGAGCCCGCAAGGCAACCCTGGCTGTTCTGTCCCCAGGATGTCTTCCTCATCTGCTTCTCCCTCGTCAGCCCCGCCTCCTACGAGAATGTCCGTGCCAAGGTGAGCTAGGCAGAGGGAGCTGGGGACGGGGGCAGGTGCCCCGGGATGGGGGCAGAGGCAGGCGATGTGAGCCCTCCCGGGGCAGCAGAAGCCACCTTGGAGACAGTCCTGGTGCTAAGCAGGGCTCCAAGGGCACAGGGTGGGGACCAAGACTCAGAGGAGGCCTCCAAGGGGGCTGGCAGGATGGACTTCCTCCCTGCCCGCCCCCGTGACCTTGTCCTCCCTCCTGGCCTTGCAACCTCGTGCGTGTGTCTTATCTCCACGCCGCCTCGAGCCCACCTCTTATCTCTGGCTGCTCTGGTCGTGTGACCATGCGCCTGGCTCCGGCTTGCCTGCACCAACGGCTCCTCTCGTTCCTGCCCTCTCACGCCCTCTGCACTGGTGCCCTCTGTGCCCTGTGCCCACCTTTCTCCTTCTGTGCCTGCTGCCCGCCCAGTGGTTCCCCGAGGTGAGACACCACTGCCCCAGCACGCCCATCATCCTGGTGGGCACCAAGCTGGACCTGCGAGATGACAAGGAGACCATCGAGAAGTTGAAGGAGAAGAAGCTGTCGCCCATCACCTACCCGCAAGGCCTGGCACTGGCCAAGGAGATTGGTATGGGGTCGGGCACAGGTGGGGAGCTGGGTGCAGGGTGAGCTGGGGCACAGCCTCACCCCACGGCCAGGCCATGTGGCTGAAACTCTGGCTGTGCTGCACCGGCTGTGTGACCTGGCCCAATCCCCTGGCCTCTCTGAACCTGTGTCTCCTCCTCTGTAATGCGTGACTGTAGTGACAGCTCCTGCCTAGAAGCAGTTAGCGAGGAGTGGTCTCCCTTGCTGGCTCTGAAAATGGGGGACGAGGTTTGTGCAGACAGACTGGTTCCCTCTGGGAGGGCTTTCTGGAGGTGCCGCTCTCTGGCAGCACATTCCCCAGCTCCTCTCTGCTTCCAGGCTGACCCTGGGCGGAAGAGTCATAACTTTCCAAGGTCACCAGCCTGGAGGTGGCCCCACTGAGATTTGAAGGGAGGATTGCAGATTGCAGGCTGGGGGTGGGGTCGGGGTTGCTTGGACCTGCGGCTCTGCCCCTGTCCTGGTCAGGCCAGAGCAGAACAGAGACCCCCAGCTGGGCCGGGCCACCCTGAGCTGCTCTGCCCACAGGCCCAGCTTGTCCTCCTACCCTGCTCTTCCTCCGGAAGCGGGAGGGGCCCCTCTCTCACAGGAAGACAAACCGCAGCAGCCTCCTCCCTCCCGTGACTAGCAGTGACAAGGCCCTTTCCCCCAGGGGCCTTGCTGGGGCTTAGGCCCTAGATCCCCTGCCTCATACCAGGCCTTCTGCACTGTCCTCATAAACTTCAGGGTTTTTGTTTTTTGAGACAGGGTCTCATTATGTAGTTCAGGCTGGCTTTGAACTCACTATGTAGCCCAGGCTCCCAGTGACCCTCCTGCCTCAGCTGCCCCAGTGCTGAGATTACAGGGATGTGACACCATGCCTGGTCATCGCCTCACAAACTCTGGACAAGCGACACCCTTCCTTAGCCTCCCTGTCCTTGTCCCCACCCAGCCATTCCTCCTGGCCAGGGCCTGTGGGTTCTTCGGGGGCACACCCTGCATTCACGATGCCTTTTCCCAGCTGTGAGCCTCCTGGCCCAGGCTTCCCCAGCAGTTTCCTCATCTGGCAAGTGGGGAATCACAGGATTTCTTCACAGTGCTATCGGAGATGCCCGCACAGACAGGTGCTGACTCTCTGTCCTTCCACCTCAGAGGAGACTGGGGCCTCTGTTAGGGTGCAGAGTCCCCTCCTCCCCTTCCTTCCTCTGATTCTGACATTGCCCAGGCCTCCTTGCAGTGGATTCATGGTTCCTCCTTCCGGGTCCGTGTTCATGTTGCAGCAGACACTGAAGGCCAAGGAGCACTGTACCGAGGGTGGGGCGCGGGCTGCCCTTCTCAGCATTGAGGTCCTGTCTGTCCCCACCCCCACACTGAGGGGTCCCCAGGTGCCCCCGGTGGAGGGGAAATGTCCAGCAGGTGATAGTGCACAAGTCACACATGCTCCCTGAGCCTCAGTTTCCCCCTCTGCACCTGGACACAGGCACATGCTGTTTCCAGAAGAAAATAAGAGGCAAAGACACGGGAGCCCGAGTGCTGCCTGCCTCCCACCGACCACAAGCTCCCGTGTCTGAGAAAGACGCACGCTGCCCTGGGGTCTCCTCCTACTCCAGATGGGGGAAACTGGAGCTCCATGAGGCAGATTTCCTGCTCAGGGCCATGCAGCTCCCAGGAGGCCTTCTTGGGACTGGAACCCAGACTGGGGACTCTGCACCCTCATCAGGTGTTTTGGGGTGTCTGCCTGGAGCCCCGCCCCTGGCTCAGGCCTTGGTCCCTGCCATCTTCCCGCCCCTAGACTCTGTAAAGTACCTGGAGTGTTCTGCCCTCACCCAGAGAGGCCTGAAGACCGTCTTTGACGAGGCCATCCGTGCTGTCCTGTGCCCTCAGCCCACGCGGCCACAGAAGCGCCCCTGCAGCCTCCTCTAGGGTGAGCATCCTCCCCACTACTATGACCCCCAACACACACACTAGCTGACTCTGGTGTCCACTGAGAGGATGGCGTTTGGGCCAGGTAGAAAGAGGACACCCATGACCTTGGTGGGGTGGGGTGGAAGGGGTGCGTGGGTCCAGTGCAGGCAGTCTGCAGGGCTTCCTGGAGGAGGACCCAGGAGGCTGGGGAGGAGTGTGTGGAGGGTGGGAAGGAGAAGGAGCAGGTGCCAGGTGAGCTATGCATTCTGCCTGTCCCCCAAATCTCACCCCTTGGCTGCCTTCCTCCCAGGTTGCACCTCAGCCCTCCCTCCCAATGGTCTGACCCTCCAGGCCCTAGATGGCACCTCGGCTGGCCATGGCATCCCTTCCCTGTGGTGTTTCTTAATGGCTGCAGAGCTTGGCTGATTGTTTCCATGCTGGAGGCCCCTGGGGCCATCAGGGGTGAATTTGCAGTTGCTGCCTCTGATCCCCCCGTATTCCTGCCTTCTCAGGATGGGAGCCGCTGTCTGACTCCCCTCTGGGAACTTTGAGCCTCATGGCTGCCAGCCACCACTGTGGACCTTCAGGGATGGGCTCTTGCTCCAGTGTTGATGATCCTGCTTGTCTGAAAGTCCTCCTTAGACTGAGCAAAATGGGTTTCTCTGGTCTTAGTTCTCCTTTACTGGGACAACATAACTCAATTTCTCTAAACTCCTGTGGATATCTGCCAAGCTATCCAAGAGTCACCCCTGGCCATCTCTCAAGACTTTCCACTCTCCTGGCAGGCTCCTGAGCTGTATGTTTCTGGAAGAGTCTTAGGACTTTCTTACTCTGCCAGGCAGTACTCTTACTATTGCAGATAGAAAAGCTAATTCAACCTGCTTAATCTGAAAATAAATTTATTGATTCAAGTTTGGAACTCCCATGATTTCAGGTGCAGCTCAATGGAGGGGGTGGTTTCCAATGACGTCATGAGGGCTTGTTTCCCTCTATCTCTTGGCTCTGCCTTGTGGTGGCTGGTTCATTCTCAAGCAGATGACTCTCAGGCCTCCATTCTTGCAGGTTTGAGCTCAGCCAAAGAAAGCAAGTATGTGTCCTGGACAAAATTCTAATGAAGGTCTACTCTGATTGGACCAGTTTAAGTCTTAGGCACTCCCTTCAACCAATTATATTTGTCAGAGGAATGCTGGGCTCTGATTGGCCAAGTGTGGCCCACATGCTGTACTGGAGTGAAGCCATGATGGAACCTCAGGAGGGGATCCCTCTGGACAGTTCAGAGGGACAGTGGTCCCAGCAGGCCCCAAACTCAGGAAGAATTCTGAGCAGGATGGCAGAAGTCCTCGCCTTAGCATTTGCTGGCTCAGAGGAACACGCCAGACTTCCCATCTTGCAGTCACCATGTCCAGCTAAGCTTTCCATCCATCCATTCAACCCATGTACTGGCCACTACCTTTGTGTCTGGCACTGTTCTAGCTGCCAGGGATCTGGGGCTGACACTCCAGAGAGGCTAAGAGACCAGAGACCCCAACCAGGCAGCCCAGAAGCCCCTACTCCAACCCCGGAGGCTCTGTGATTGGGGGTTCTGTTCCCCCAGAGCTTCAAGCATTCCCACTGTCCCCAAATCCCAAGGCAGGCCCCCCCACCTCCCAGGACCCCACCCCAAAGGGACCTGGTGAGCAGGGAAACCTCTCTTCTTCCCTTAGTTTCTGCTCAAAGGCTGTATGATTTTACTTCTCTGAAACAGAAAGGAAACACTAAAGCTTATGCATGTGAGCCCAGATCCCTTCAAGTCTGCATTGAAAAGCCCTGGGGCGCTGCCTCCACACAGCCAGAGTCAGAGGAGGCAGCTTTCTGCTTCCTGCTCTTTGCAGGGTCTGGGGATAAATTCTAGAGCCCTCCTTGGTGGCCCTGAAGGCCTGGCCACGTTCCACCTCCTTGCTCTTCTATGCTTGCGCCTCCACCGTCGGACTGGACCCTCAATCCTGAAAGCTACATTCATGCTGCTCTCACTCCAGGGCTTTTGCACATGCTGCCCCCCTACTTCCCTGCATGCTGAAAGTGGGCTGGGGGCTCGTCCCGTCGGAGTTCAGCCCCCTAAGCCTGCCCCCAGGGGGAGTCAGTCTTGCTTTTATATCAAGAGTAAGGTTGGTAAATAAATGGCCCCATTCACTGTGTTGCCCCACCTAGTGTATATTATCTCATTTAATCCTCTGCAATATCTTTCATTGTAGGCCCACTTTGCAGAGGAGGAGCAGAGGTTCAGAAGAGCATAAGAATTCAAGCTTAGATGATCAAGGCAGGCTCTATGCTCTCCACCCTCTGTCACTACTCCCACCCACTTGACGACAGAATACTAGCTTTGTGCAGGGGAGCAAGGTACCTAGCGCTACACAAAATATTTGTTTTCCCAGTTGGCGTTGCAGCTGGTGCTTGGAGGTCACACAGTTTTGGCCAACCAGACGTGTGTGGAAGTCAGCAGAAAAGGCAACTTCACTCATTTATTTCTGCTTTGCAAATGGGCTGAGGATCAGAGGCCTGCAGGCAGAAAAGAGTAGCAGTGAGGGAGGCCTGCGAGAACCTGTTCTGAAACAGGAAGAGCAGCTGGGCGTGGGCAGGGGCTGACGTGTGGTGAGGCTCAGTCACCAGCGACCAGCCTGGCGGGGCTCCATGCAGCACACCCAGCCCATCTTGGGACGAACCCATGCCTGCCAGGCAAGAACACCTCCTTTAGCAGAGGATGGCGCCACACGGCTATAATTCCAGCCCTCAGGAAGCTGAGACAGGAGGATGGATCACTGAGGGTTCCAGGCCAGACTGGGCTACATAATGAGACCCTGTCTTAAAAAGAAAAGAAAAGAAAAGAAAAGAAGAAAAGAAAAAGACCACTTCTTTTGAGACTCTGTCTTGGAGCCTGGCTGCTCCTTATTCCGTCTCTAAAGCAGGGATATTGGGGTGCCCCAGGCTCCTATTCTCCCACCCCAAATATTCTCTCATATTCACTGGTCAAGCCTGGACAGTTTGGCTTCCCAGTATCAGCCAAACCCGTGCCCTGTCTCTGCTGTACTCTGGTTCTGGGCCTTACCACCTGTCCCCTGGCAGCAGCAATGGCCTCCTCTCTGGACTCCCTTCCTCCCCTCTCTGCCTTGACTCCATCTCCCACCAAGCAGTGCGATTGTCCTCTTCAAAAATAGCGAGTGGGGCTCCCACATCTGCAGAGAGCAGAAAGTGCCCCTTTGCTTGGCTGTCCCCTGCACACTCAGTCCCACTGCACTGCCCAGCCTTGCCCCCAGCAGCAGGTCCAGGCCTCAGACTAGAACTCTGAGAGGCATTCTTGATACTTTCTGGTGTTTCACCTTCTCTTTCCAAGGCAGCACTGGACGGATACTGCCCAGCAGCCCTTCCTCTTGCCTTCAGTCCATGCCAGCCTTGCTCCCTTCCTGGGTGGCTTCAGGGGCTCCCTGTTATAGTCAGCAATGGACGAAGTACTGCTGTGTAACAAAACACCCCCAATCCAGAGGCACAGGGTGGCAAGCTTTTTTCTCACTGCCCAGGGTGAGCTGGCCGACCTGCCTCAGGCTGGGTTGGGGGGACCTGCTCCTGCTTCAGGCTGGCTGGGCTGTGCTCTCTGGGTCTCTCAGCCTCTGGCCAGTGCTGGCTGGGACTTGCTCTTCTCCTGGTGGATCACAGAAGTGCTGTGGCAGAGCTCCACCCCAGCACATTGGAGGCCTCTGCTCATCTTGCACGTGGCCAAGGCCACCACTTGCGGGGAGAGAAGCAGGGATGAGAGCTGGGCAGTGGGGAGGTTTGCTGAGTGCCATTCTGACTGCTCATGCATCCTGCTTAGCCTCCTTACTTCCACTTTACTCTTGGGCTCAGTTTCTCTCCAGAGAGCTGCCACAGCCATCACATCAGAACCCAAACCAGATCAAACAGCTCCCATGTCTGAGCCCTCTAGTGGCACCGCAGGGCATTGATCAGGGAAGCCCCAGCCCCATCGGCCCTGCAACCCCTCCTCAAAGATCCCCAGACCCCAGGGCCACTTCATCAAGCCTGTCTTCATCCACCCCAGGACCTTGGCTCAAGTCACTCCCACCTCCCACGAAACCCGACACCCGCTGGCCCCGGGCACCTCCACAGCCACTCCACCCCAGCCCTCCTTTGCCCCTGTGGAGGGGTGGTGTTTATGGCTGTTTGTAATGAAGTGTTAATGGAGCACTTCCCCTACCCAGTAAGCCCAGGGAAGCAGGGCCTGTTTGTTCCACAGTGGGACCCCAGCTCTGAGACCTGAAGCTGCTGTTTGTGCAAATGAGTACATGGGTGAAAGAGGAGGGCTGGGAACGCCAACCACTCAAGTGACCCCATGGTCACTGCAATGCTACAGCCATGTGTAAGAGCCATCTTGGATGTGGCAGCCCAGAGTCCCCAGGTCACGGTGGCCTCATCCATAACCATGGGGAGGAGAAAAGCTGCCCGCAGGAGCCCAGCCCCCTGTAGAGTCACAGAGAGGCCCATGTGCTGCTGCCATCACCACTAGGTCTTGGGAGCTGGTTCCCTTGGCACTGGTGCCCAACAGCGATCTTTCTGGGCAGGGGCTCTTTCGATCTCTGCCCCTCCCTCCATATCCTCCATTTCCCCCCATCTGGGCACCAGGCAGAGTAGGGCAGGCCCTGGGGAGCAAGATGAATGTCTGGGGACTCCTGCAGAGGGTCAAGAGAAAGGCAAAATGAACAGTGACCCATGTAATCCCTAATTCCACCTTGTCCAGTTCCCATGTGTGCACTGGGTATTCTGGACTGGAGTGTGCAGGGGTTGGAGGTGCAGAAAGAGGAGGCACAGCCTGTCCTTCACCATGACCTGGAGCCCAAAGGGAGAGGCAGAGACACAAATAAACCTCCACCACGAACCTTGAGCCACATGTCACATGGCACAAAGAGGAAGAGTCTGTGGTCTCAGGGGGCCATGTAAAGAAGCAGAAAGACAGCAGAAAAAGAAACAGAAACCCAACGCCCATCTTCAGAGAAAGCAAGAGACACCTGTAACCCCAAACCACAGCGTGCGCGGGTGAGAGCAGATGGCAGGGTGAATAAATGATTTCCCAGAGCCCAGGAAGACAGACCTCAGTGTCCACTAGGATGTGGTAAGGGAGGGCCCGGGTGGCTTTCAAGAACCCCAGGGAGATTCAGGATTAGGGACCCATACACTCCAGATGGGAGGAAGGAGGTGCAAACAGTGGACTGGGTGGCCTGGGAGTCTAAGGAGAGCTTAGGGTCCCCGTGGTCCTCACTCCTGCATGATGCAGCCAGGTAGCCCCCTGTCTCTGAGCTAGACAGGGAAAATTCAAACAAAGAGCTGAGGACTGGGGCAGGATTTGGGTGAGGCACCAGACTGACTTTGGAGGCTCAGCAGATTCCATTCCACTTAACAAATAACCACTCCTTGGCCCCCACTACCCTGAGACCCAGCTATGGGACTTGCTCAGTCACAGGAACTTTAGCACAAGTTTCAGAGGAGACACCCAAGTGTGCCTGTGCCCTTGGGCCTGCTTTCGTGTGCTGTAGAAAATGAACTTGCTGTGGGTGAGCCTGCTGGTGCCAAGCAATGAGAGAAACAGCAAAGGGGAGGAGTGTCCACCTGAGCCTGACACACATCTGCCCAGTGGGACAGGTGTAGATCCACTCATCCCAGCTGAACATCATCAATAAGTGCATGCTGGTGTTGCCACAGAAATTTTGTGGTGGCTTGTTACACAGCAGCATCTGACTGATACAGGGGGATTAGTGAGTCTGACTTCTGAACAGGCTGCTCCCAGCCCCTTCCCTGGACCAGGTCAGGAGTGCTAGTGCCAGGCATATACTCACCCCAGACAAGACACTGGGGGACCTGGTCATCCCAGAGGAAGGGCTCAGGTGCT